CTTTGAATAGTAACTCCTTCTCTGTCTATCATTTACCCCACTACTTTGCTAGACAAAGATGAGGCTACTATTCAACACCAGCTGTCTCTCTCTCCACGTTGAAGACATTTTCTTAACATGGCAAAGGTAGGGAACGCGCAGTCTATATATTATACGTCTATGCTAGCAACTAGCTTTACCGCGTCCTGTGCAGAAGCCAATAGAACGTTTCCAAAGATTTTGATTCGATTCTTTTATTCGATTCTTAGGATAAAGAATCGATTCTCAAGAAAATCGAATAGTAAAGAATCGATTAAAAGAATCGATTTTTTGGCCAAAATAATCGATTTTTTAAGTAATCGAATCAAAATCGAACATCCCTAGTTGGGCCTTCTCGCGCATCTCATACGCGAACGGAAGATGGCTACTTGCTGCCGTTCGACTACGGAGTACCACGGCTTGTTGTGAGGGAAACGGGGACGTGAATTCGGCGCGCAGGACAGTATAACGCAACGGGTAACGCGAGGAACGCGATGCGTTAGGTACGCGCGGTTCGCCTCCTGAGATCGACGACTGTGATTGTCGCGAGCGAGACGGAGTGAGAGAGAGAAGAAGAAAGAAGGGCAACGAGAAGTACATTGAGTGCGCGGCGCGCCAGCAAAGGGCACCTCCTCCCCCTCGCCACCCCCGTGGTTTCGCTTCCACGGTGCCATGAGAGTGCGATCGGTTCGGCTGTTTACAGTTTTCGGTTTACAACAGACGTGCGACGATTAATGTGTACACACGATTGATTTAATTCTTCTCTTCCTTGACTCACTCAAGTTGCGTGAATCAATCTCCCGCATACGTCCCCGATACACGTGTCTCGCAAGACATTTATTCTCGATTTTGTGCTCTTGGGACGCGGAATCAAGGTAAGACGTTCTGTTCCGGTGACATAAAGATTTGATTACACCACACGGGCCTGTTTCTTGCATTAGGGAAATTCATATGGAGAATAAAAATGATAATCTTTTTACAATTACTCCAAGTATTTAACATACGTAGCTACAATTGTTGCTACTAATTTCGATCTTAACTTTATTGCGAGAAATTTTGTCGAGTTTCTTGAGGTTGCGTGATTGATGATGATTGATATTTAATAGATGTACATTTTCAAAAGTCGGGATTTGTCGTTAACATATGAGAAGTGAAATCGCTCGGAAAAAATTGACAGTCGATTGTCAGTCATTGACTGTATTCAGCAATTGAAACATTGTTTTGTTGCTTATTGTCTGAGAATATTTTTTTTTAGATCTATTGCAGATATAAAAAAAAAGTATTTGCTAATTGCAGACAGTAAGCACAAAGTGATGCCTCAATCACCTCATTTAGTTCACTTGCTCGATAGTCTATGGTTAAATGCACATATGTATGTATGTAAGATTTAGAGAACAATCAGCGAATCTAACTCGATAGATCGAGAGATATAGAAAGCCAGTGCAAACTTCACGCATCAATTTCTTTGATTTTCAGACAAACAATATGGGGTCCAGCCAACAATTCTCTCTTAGATGGAACAATTATTTAAAACATATTACTTGTGCTTTTGACACACTGAGAACAGATGAAGACCTAGTAGATGTAACTTTAAGTTGCGAGGGCAAGAAGATCAGAGCTCACAAAATGCTGCTTTCTGCTTGTAGCACATATTTTAGAGATTTATTTAAGGTAAATACAAAATAATTGTGTTTATTATTCATGTCTTGAAATATAAGAATAAGTATTTATATGTCTATGATTGTGTCACATTATAGGAAAATCCATGCCAGCATCCCATAATTATATTCAGAAATGTAAAATTTGATGATTTAGCTGCCTTGGTAGACTTCATGTATCAAGGTGAAGTGAACGTTGTTCAAGAACAGCTAGGTAGCTTCCTATCTACAGCAGGTTTATTGGCAGTTCAGGGTCTTACAGATGGCACGGGAAAGGATAACGATAGTTTAGTAGAAGTAAGATATTAATGAGATATAATTTATATATATATACAGGGTGCCCTCGAATTGGTGTGACATCTCTCGTAGGCAGGTTGGAGTAAAACTGAGTCGAAAAATCCTGAATCATTTTTTTCTATTATTTATAATAAAGGAGTAATTNTTGAGTAAATCAGGCCAATCAGTGCGGATCTTTAGCCAGGCGCACATTAGTGAACCGCGCGGAGCGCTCACACACCAGGCGCGTGGCTCACTGACGTGCGCCTGGCTAAAGATCGCTGATTGGCCTGATTTACTCAATAATTACTCCTTTATTAATTAATATTAATAATTAATTAATTAATTAATTAATCATTACTCCTTTATTATAAATAATACAAAAAAATGGTTCAGGACTTTTCGACTCAGTTTTACTCCTTCTTCCTGCCTACGAAAGATGTCACACCAATTCTGGGACACCCTGTATATATATATATATATATAAAGTTGTTAAGATTTTTAATAAATGTTACTTATATTTTTTTATACATGTGTCTCATGTTATTTTTCAGGATGACATAGAAATTCCTAATGAGCCCGAAGTGCAACTGCAAAACACTTCCAGCAAAGCTGAAAGGGATAATAAAAGGATTAAATCGCCATCTTCTCCGTTGCCGTATCACGCCACAGAATTGCCTGAAGCGCCACAGCCTAAAAGAAGAAAAACGCGAGAAAGCACAATAAATGTCGAAAAGAATTCAGTGGGAAATAATGGATCGTCAAAAGATGCTGACGGAAAAAATCAAATAGAAAATCAAACCGGACAAGTCAGTGATCCGGTCGAAATAATCCCGTTAATGCCGAATTTGAAACTGGAAATGCCTGAATATCTGGAGCAAGATGGCAGCAGTTGTAGTTACGAGGATCAAGGTATAGGTGATGCTACGATAAACAAACTTGGCATGGAAGATACGGCGTCGCATGATGAAAAAGTCGATATTAGTCAAACATTCTATTCGAGTCAATCAACATCAGATGGTTTGGACGGCAAACATCAATCAGCTGATGTTGGTAAGTATATTTGTGTGTATAATTTTGTTTGTAATTATCAGAATGTTTTCCGACATTAGTGTCTTCAATCTCAATAATTGTAATCAATTCTTGATGAGGTATTATTTTTGTTTTTCAGGACACATGCATTCTAAACCGGGTACTTCGGGAGAAAGGCCGTCACAGGAAGCAATACAGGGTGAGTAACAGTCGATCTTCCTTCATTATATATAAAATTTATATAATGCAATCTGTGGTGCTGTCATTATGCTAAAGTACATATGTGTGTCTGTGTGTGTATATATATATATGTGTGTATATATATATGTGTATGTGTGTGTGTATATACATATACATATATAAGATATGAAGATACACAATAGAGATTTGCAAATTAATATTTTATTGCATGTACATTGTTTACAAGAAAATTTAAACATTCGGCACGCTTAATTTATAAGCTACACTTTAAATGTAAATTATCACTGAAAATTTATTAAATCGAAAATTACAAAATGTAATATAATTTTAAAAGGAGCAATTAAAATGTTTACCTTAAATTACTTGCAGAACAATTAATTCTTATTTAAATTATAATCTAGTTATTTACATAGTTCACACAAACAAATAAATAAATAAATATTGATCAAGTTCCACTAATAACAATGTAATGATAATATGGCAATAATGACGGTACAACATACTTGTAAGTTTTGTATCCACATGTTTAACATTAATACTTATAATTAAAAATTCTTTTTATATAATGATTTAAAAAATACATCTGTATTTTTTATAAGGAATAAGATTTAAAAAATTTTTTTACATATTCTTAATTTTTTATGGACTGCTCTTTATTACACAAAAACTATATTCTAATAATGGTGACGGATTTATTGCATGTATTGTGGCTACAAAACTATGAACAGTATAAAACTATGAACGCCTTGATACATGAAGCATTTGACATTTTACATGGGATTATTCGGTTTCATGGATTAAGGTTGTGTGATAATTGTTTTGATAATAAGAAGGAAAACAAAAATTCCTTTTTATTACGACTATTTAGTTTGCGGGGTAGTTAGTTGACTGAGTCTCACACATCAAATTGTACGATGATTTGATAGTCTGTGCAGCTTTGCATTACACGCACACAAATGAAACTAGAGAAAAAGAAAATTGAATTAAATCGAGATCCGAATAACAGGATTTTTATGCAATTATTACAAGTAACATGTTTCTTAAAACAATAGTTTAGGTTTAGTCGGAAATTTTTTTTCTTTTTTTTTTCATAATATGTGTGTGGACCTGATTCTTAATATAACAGAGAGTTTGAATATACGGTTTCTGTAATTTCATAAAAATAAATAACATTATAATGTTTTTATTGCATATGTATAGAGTTTTTATCGCAATGTATAGAGTTGTCAAAAATTCAAGTTTTTGCATTACTCCGTGAAAATGAACATTTTTAGATACTCGTAAAAGATTAGATTACTCTTAAAAATGTTAAATCTTTTACGTGAATTAGTTTTACGCTGTTGAATGGAATCAGATTTGCGCGCAAGTTTGCTGTAAACAGATTTTGAGCAAAACGCGATCCGGTAAAACAAAAATTCTAATGTGATACAATCCCTATTTCAACAAGGGGAAAGATTTACTTTTTCTTCCGCCAATTAAAAATTTTTACTTTTAGTGTACAGAGTGCATGGTGTTTTTTGTATGTAAATGTATGGTACAGGCACTCGGGTGTAGGTTGAACTGTAGATAGTAAGCATTGCCAAGTGCTGTATGTGTGCCGACAATCATCAACATTCCTTTTTTCAAAATAACTCGATCAAAGCCACCACTATATTCCTCATTGCGCACTAACTGTAAGCATACTTTTGTATATGTACTAAAACCAGAATACCTTTCAGCGCTGGTTCGAAGCAACTTCTTCGTCAATTAGTATTTAATTTATGTATATAGCGCAAACCCCACTACGTACACACAACATACATAATTTATCTGCATGTACAACATTAATCTCTTATGTAAGAATATCAAAGTTTGAAGATAAAAGACAAGAAATTTTTTTCTAGAGGTTTGCGAAAAACACATTGTTGAACAAAAAAAGATTTTACACAATTTTTTAATTTTTACTAAAAATTGATTTATTTTTTCGAATATCTTTATGTTAGAAAAAACACTATCTTTGTTTTTAAATAGAATTTCTCTGATAACTCAACATCTCTAAAAAAAATCTATCAAAGCTATTTGCTCGATTGTGTACGGAAGTTCTCATGTAAATCGTTAGTCTCTACAGATCTATCAGAATAATAAATAATATTTTGTAGAGAGAGAGAGAGAAAGAGAGAGAGAGAGAGAGAGAGAGAGAGAGAGAGAGAAAGAGAAAATCAAATTTCATGATATTATGAAAATTACTTGATTTCGGACACAGTTGCTCTTTCGGCTCTCTCTCTCTCTCTCTCTCTCTCTCTCTCTCTCTCTCTTTCTCTCTGCGCTATCTTTGTATTCAAATCAAGATCAACTAAGGACAGGTTGAGTCGTAAAATGCGATCGTTATTTTCGCGATCTGCACAGCCTTGAAGTAAAAAATTAATCCTGAAATAATCAGGTAGTGGTGGTGGTACTCTGGTGACAATGGCATGTGTGCAAAACTTTTCTTGATATTTCTTGATATAACTCAAGACTGACTCTTTTCCTTTATGATACAAAACTTTACAAATGTAGAGTACTTCCCACGTGTGGAAAGTACGGCGATCAGATTGAATCGATATTCCTTCGGAATCCGTAATAATACTTTATGACGTAAAGTGATCTCTTTTGTACTAATATGTATGTACTAATATGTATATTTTGTACTAATATGTATATGTTTGAGATAAACATTTTAATATCTTTTTAGAATAATATTTTTGCACGATTACTTAAGTAAAAAAATCGAAATTCAAAACCGCACTATAAGCATATGATTACATCAATATATAAGTATGAAGATTAAGGAAAAGTAAAGTTTAGAAACCGAACCGTGTAGAAATTTGAGATCGATCTGTTATCAAATTTAAAATTTCTATCTTCGATCTCTTTACCGAATTGGACAATTAACAAGAAGAATTATATTCACGAATTATTATGGTTTTCAATTTTATTTGAATGTTTTGTTTTACGGATTTTGGAGGAATGTCCACGTGATGTGATTCTTTTCTTCTTCGAATGTCATAAATTTCAAATTGATTGTGGGGAATTGTGGGAAGTATTTGTGAGAAACATAACACGAAAGCCTTTGATCAGTATAAAAGAAAGAAAATAATTAAACATTTTTTTGGCAGGTAGGTAATCTAAATTCTCAATCTCAATCTAAATCCAAAACATCAACTTTTTTTAGTCACAAAGACATAAAAAAGCTTGTTCCTTCATTGTTCAAGTGCTAACGTTATTGTCGTTACATAATTTTTTGCATAACGCGTAATCTGTTCTATAGTGTGTTCCGTTCCATAGTCGATTCATTTGCGCAGCTTTTTTTTCTTATAACAACTCAATTTTAACTATAAATCAATTTATCCGCACGATTCAGTTGCGGACTGTATTGATCACAAACAATACAATATCTTCGAATTTTAATCACAGCTCAACAAACATGTGGCTTGGTATTATTGTTTGCATATCACGTATAATGGCATTAGTTTCATTAATTTTACATTGTTCTAGGATAAAATAGAACAAAGATATGATTAGGATGTAAAATCTAGATCAGAATTGATGCGTTGAAATTAATAGTATAGTTTGTTAAAAAAAAAACAATTAGAAAATATTAACTCGTTTCTTATATTTGAAGCTGTGCGTTTTGTTCGTTTCAATCTGTGTTTACTTTCCAAGGTATTGAATTGTTCTTGAAAATATTTCCGTTGACACGCGAACTCTGACTGATGGCCTTGCGGCCGTCTCGAGATTCGCGATAAGCGTTGTTGCTGAAGAAACTTGATGAGATGAAAAATCAAGCAAAAAGCACCGAGAATAAACAACAAGAGTGCTTTATATGTGAAAAGTTGCGTTTTGCACTTGGAATTATATCAACTCGTCGATAATTTTATCGCAATATGAAGTGCAACGATGAACACGATAGCGGCGATTGACGCGGCTTTTCCATGCGCGATATAAAAGTGAATACCCGTCGGAGATATCGATCGCAAATCGCGCTGCAAGAGGTCGACGAAGCTCATCGTCGATAAACACGGGAGGCCGAACACTCGAGCATCCTAACCAATTATGTGTAATCAGCGTTTTCTCTTGCTCCAGCATCATCAAGCGCTCGAAAAAATTAAGAGAGATTCTTCTTTTGGCACAGATTGACGGCCTATGTGCAGAGAAAAAGTTTTCCTTCTCATAAAAAATCGTCTAATTGGCAGAAAAAATGATGATGATAAATTACAATTGTTTCTGCCATTAAAGACACAATTGTGATAATAAATTCACGAGAGGATCGGGAAACCGTTCAAGAGAACGAAGCCTGAGAATAATGCAAAAGTACATCCACGTGGACTCGTCTCTCTACGTCTCTCCTCTCGTCAGCTGAAGAAAAGCTGAAAATGCTAATTTTTTGCTAATAAGTCCCGTAAACTACTCGACGTATAAAACTCAAACATTACAGAGGAGAAAACATTGAAACGATGCAAAAGCGTAAAAAAAAAACGTGTTGAAAACTAGCACGTGACAATGCTATCGCGCGATGAAGAACATCAGGTCAATGATACATTGTAGACATGGCTTTCTTGCAGCAGCTGCTGCTGCTGCGATTATGGGATTACTATGGTTGGTGCTGGGGGTTGGTTCTGCTGATGTTGCTGCGAGTTTTTCTAGTACCCGGGAGATAATCTATGTACACACATACGGAGAGAGGTGTCTTTTTTGTTGTAATTAAATAACTAACGGTTGTTGCATGCCCCCTACCTCGCGCCTACTACTTCTTTAAGAAAACTGACTAACCTCCTCCCCCTCCCTGATACACACACGTAAGAATTCGAAAAAAAAAAAAAAACGACATTTGTGTTTGCCGCTGGCCACAACAACACTGTGTTTCTCTCCAGGAGGGTTCACATACGTATCTGGTCAACCACATAGCCTCAGCAAAGCGAACGGCCACGGAAAAGTGTGTGTGCACTGCAAGCAGCGCGGCATGGTAACATCTCGCGGCAA